GCCTCCACCCCACCGCTCTGCTGATGCCCCTCAATCCTGATTTGCACTCCTGGCCCCCATTGCTTTTCCAGCCTAGGGCTCCCGCTGCTACTCCACGCCACAGCTCTGCCCATGCGCCTCTGTCTAGCCGTACAACTCCCTCTGCTATCCGAGCCCTGGACTCCCCTTACTCAGCTCTGCTGGTGCCCCTGAGTCCTCCCCCTGGCTCTTGTCTCTGCTAGATTCCAGAGATCAGTTGCTTCCTATGGATTCAGAACCTGCTCTCCATCTGGCTAGAACAACCGATTCACAGCCAAGGGCAGGATCCCAGTGTCGGGGCAGGGGAAGCCCCCCATTTATGGCAGCCGAGTTGTCTGTGTGAAGTTCCTCCCCGTTACAAGCAGACGGAAGTGAGTTTGCAGGCTCTCTGCTCTGGGCCTGCCATACTCTAGGTGTGTCTGTCAGCAGGGGACGCAATACTATCCGGGCCTCATTGAAATCTTTCTGGGGAAATGCATTTCCCGGAGCTTGCACCCAGAGAGCTGAGGCACGTCCCCTCACGCATGGTGCAGAAGCCTGCGCAAAGCAAGATGTTGGCAGCTTTGTCCCTCAGTTTACAGGCTCCAAAACATCCACTTAATTTAGATTTAATAAGACAACTCTTGTGCGTCAACCAAATGATTGGAACCAGCTCTGCTGGGCGGCTCTCCAGAGCTGTTAATCCACCGTCGATTTGTTTTTAATCATCACTTTGTATTTAGCATCCAAAACCCACTTTATTGAATCAAAATGAAAGGGGGCCCTCACCGGAGTGGGGAGCCAGCGCCTGCCTCTGCTGCCTCTCAAATCAAGGCACAGGGAGGGAACGGGATGCTGTCCCCTAAATTAATCTCTTTCTATTTCCAAGGCTGCCATTGCTTTCCTGCCATGCTGGAGGGCTAGTGGCAAGGCAGCCCCAGAGCTTGACTCCTCGGTACCGTTAGGCTCAGAGAGGGAGGATGGCCCAGTGGTTAGGGCACTAGCCTGGGACGTGGGAGACTTGGGAAGGGCCCAAGAGCAGTGCAGAGCCATTTGGAGGGGAAAGGAGATAAATGAGGGGAGCATAGGGGCTGCTGGGGTCATGGGAATAGGGATCAGGGGCAGTTGGGAAGAAGGAGAGGCTTACAGTTAAGACAGTGGCCTAGCACTGTGGACTCCTGGGTTCCCATCCTGGTTCCACCCCATCCTTGGAGCCGAAGTGTCAAAGCTGGGTGGCTAAGGACATGCCCTAATTTCCAGAGGTGCTGAGCACCTGCAGGTCCGATAGCAGGATGGAGCCCAGGACTCCACCTCTCCCCTAGGGCCGCCCTGTGGCGCCCCCATCCCTAAAGCTTTGCTCTCTGCTCCTTCCTTGCAGCTCTTTGGAGATGACCTGCTACGACAGCGACGAAGCCAACCCCAGGAGCGTGTCCAGCCTGTCCAACCGCTCCTCCCCCCTGTCCTGGCGCTATGGGCAATCCAGCCCCCGGCTGCAGGCCGGGGACGCTCCCTCAGTGGGTGGGAGTTGCCGGTCGGAAGGCACCCCCAGCTGGTACATGCACGGCGAGCGGGCGCACTATTCCCATACCATGCCCATGCGCAGCCCCAGCAAGCTGAGCCACATCTCCCGGCTGGAGCTCGTCGAGTCGCTGGACGCCGACGACGTGGATCTGAAGTCCGGGTACATGAGCGACAGCGACCTGATGGGGAAGACCCTGACGGAGGACGACGACATCACCACGGGGTGAGTGCCGCTGCAGGCGCTAGACAGATTCCGACTGGAAATAAGGTGTACGTTTTTAACCGGGAGAGTCATTGACACTGGAACGACTTACAAGGACTGTGAGGGATCCAAAGATTGGATTCTTTTCTAAATGATCTGCTCTAGGGATTATTGTGGGGAAGTTCTCTGACTTGCATTATACAGGAGATCAGACTAGATGATCACAACGGTCCCTTCAGCCTTGGAATCTGAGTCTACGAGATTGAGAGAGAGACAGAAAGAGCAGATGGATGGATGGATAGATAGATGGGTGCATAGAGGGATGGATGGATTGATGCATGGTGGGTGGATGGATAGATAGATGGGTGCATAGAGGGATGGATGGATAGATGCATGTCGGGGGGTGGATGGATGGATGGATGGATAATTATATACATCACAGAATCCTTCCCCCACCCACTATATTTCTAGTAGGTTCCATGCTTTGTGGCGGGTGATAATTAGTATCTGGTGGCCTGCAGAGATGGTGCTCCTTGCTGTGCCAGGCCAGCGGGCCAGCATCCTGTAAGGTGCTGTTGTGCCCTGGGCAGAGTGGCGTGTTTGGGAGGAATACAGGCTGCATGGGGCAGCTCTGGAAGTGTCTTTTATCTGACGTAGGCAGCATCTGGGGATCAGCAAAGTTAATGGCAACGATACTGTGTTGAGAGCCAGGCCTGGTGCTGAACTAGCCCTGCTAGACCGAGGGTTTGTCTGCGCTGCAGCTGGGAGGGAGCGTCCCAGCTCAGGTAGACACACACGCTGTGCTCAAGGTACAAATGGCAGCATGGCCACAGCAGGTTGAGCTATCTCCTGAGTATGTTCCCAGGGGGTTGGGTGGCCACTGCCCGTGCCATCACCGCAGCCACACTGCTATTTGTAGTGCACTAATTCGAGCGGAGCTAGTGTGTGTCAGTCTCTGCCCCTGCTGGGAAGCACCTCCCAGCTGCTCTGCGGCTGGATCCTGGGGAACCACGGGACAATACTCAGGTGCATCGTTGCAGAGGGCTGGGAAGGAGTGCTGAATAACCACGGGGAAGCTGGTGGGCTTTGGAGCTATTCCGCAATGTGAGCCATTCACTCCTCGCTCAGGTCCTCAGATCTGGGGCTTTGTATTCCAATGACCATCTGGCTGTATTTGCCACTTGGTCTTTGATCCGGCTTTAGTACTTGCTCCTTCCACAGCGACTAGGGTGAGAAATTAACGTGTTAGAGCATCTGCCGTGCGCTTCTGCAAAGGGCCAGATCCTCAGCTGGTGTAAAACAATGTAGCCCCATTGACTTCAGTAGTTCTGTGCTGATTTACACTAGTTGAGAATCTGGTCCTTTAGTGCTTTGGGGGAGATCAGCTGCCTAACCAGCGGGCAGTTGGTGAAGGAGAGGGAAAAGCATGACCGTAATCAGAAGGACGTGATTTCAAGGCCCAGTGTCTCAGGACCTGATAGGGCTAGAACCAGCAAAGATGCTTTCAGGGCTCTGCAGATTTTTCTTGAGTACCAGTCTAGGATCGGTGGGAGATGGTACTAACCGCTCCCTGGTGCACATGGGATTAAACTCAGCTCACCTTCTCTTCACCACCCTTCCCCCCACATCAGGGAAAGGCTACAAATGGACTGGATGGGAGAAAGTATCTTAGGGAAGGTCAGTCTCAGTAGCCAGGGTGACAGGAGCAGGACTGGGTTAACCGCAGGCTGGGATGTTTTCTGTGCCACCGCTCTTTGGTTTATGGCAGTGTGTATGTGATCCCTGGTTAGAGACGATACCCCCGGAGGAAAAGCTAGCTGACTGCATGCACCTGTGCTGTTGGAATGTTTGCTGAGCCATCCCAGGGAGAGGAAGGCGCGCATGGCTCCAAGGCAGCTCGCCCTGGGTCTGCTGGGACCCCAGCAGTGGTTAAAAGCAGCCAGGAAGGGGATCAACCAATAATTCCTGACCAACCCTCCGAGGCAGGATGCCCAGAAACACCTCCCTTGTGTCCTTCTCGCAGCAGCCCAGCTGGTCCATACACACACTCCATGTGAGCAGAGACGGGGGCCCTGATCCTGGGTTGTGCTCAGCTCTGTCCATTCACCATTGACGTCAGTGGGCGTGGAGGGGATCTCATTTGATACAGCCCAGCCTTGTCTGTTCCTCGCTGCGTGTCAGAAATGGAAACTCAAGGGAGAGAGACGATGTCATGAGTTTACCATTTATCCCTGGAAGTATAAAAGGGGGGGAGGGGGAGAAATAGCCCAAACATCCTTCGAGGGATGGGGCATCGCCTTGATCCTAAAAATACCCCTGCAGCATGGAGAGAGCTCTGTACAAGTCCTCGTTAATTTCACAGCTCTGGGCAGCAGATGTGTAACCAACGAGGCCTGAGTCCAGTGACTCTGCCATACCTCCTGGCTGTTACCATCAGTGAGCGTTCAAGTGGAGGGGCAGATGGATCCCAGTCCCTGCTGCACGGGAGCAGGGCGCTGCAGAGGGAAAATTCGTATTGGAGATCTTGTTCCGTCCCCAGGGGGTGCTGGGTCATTCAGCGCCCCGCAGCAGCACTCAGCCTCTTGTGGGTCCCCCACTAGAAGGTGAGACTGCTCAGCACCTGGCAGGATCAGACCCTGAGGCTAGTGGGAGTCGGCAGCCAGCCAATCCCTGCAAAGAGCTGCATCCAGTCTCCCCAGCCCATTTGAGTTCTCTTCCACCCTTGCCCAGGAGAGGTTTCTGATGCCAAGTAATGCTGTGAAAGTGGCTGTTAGAAGGGGACAGATGGGTGGGACTTTTTGGATTTAAAGCATGTGTTGTTTTCTTTTGAAACGCAGCCCTCCCCATGCTGATCCCATCGAGCTCTTGAGATGCCGCCTGGGGGGGGTTTGTGTTGAACAAAAATCCAGTCCCCGTCTCTTCCCCGCCCCCGCCTCTGACTCAAGGCCAGAATTTCAGCACATTGGAGGTTTCCTGTTTCAACGCATGAGAAAATAAATAATCCTGGTATTTGATTTGTCCCAGAGCATGGGGAGGTATTTGGCCTTCTATGCTGCTTACAGCTCCTAGTCATGCCAGCTGCTTGTGGTGTGCGGTGAGAGCCCGCAGCTCTGGTGGGTGTCTTGGGGACTCTCTGACACACAGGGCCGGCTCCAGGGTTTTTGCTGCCCCAAGCAGCCAAAAAAAAAAAAAAAAA